ACTGCACAGGTCAGCGCCGCTGCGGCCGGCGGGGACTCGTCCTTCAGATGCCGCCCGCAGCGGCAGCCCACACTGGTCTCGTTCGGACGGCCGGAGCCGGACTTATGCCGGGCGGCCGACTGTCAATTTTCCGCCCTGTTCCCGTCCCTAGACGCCCACATTACAGGGTTCCTCTTTCTTGGGGCATAACAGCGCGGAACTGAACCACTGGCTGACCGACTAAGATCGCTTCGGGGGGACCGACACGTCACCCCGGATTTCCGTCCGTAGACGCCCACTACAGGGTTCCTTCTTTCCGGTGGCGTAGCTATCGCACCAAAATGAGGACGACCCCTGTAGCCAATTAATTTAGCTCGGCCTCGGTCCACAGCCGCAAACACCTCACAAGCCAGGATCACCATCCTGTAATGAATTAATTTAGCTCGGCTCAGCCTCGGCCCAGAGCCGCAAACACAACAGATAACAACACACACACACACACAGCCAGCAGAAATCTCTTATGCAGGTTCTTAGCAAAACAGCCCTGGGCAAGGAAAAGTTTACCTGCCTTTTGCCGTCCTCGAGCAGCCAAGTGGACGTGAGAGTGCATCAGACAGAAACAAGCAGTACAGTGGTAAGATATTGAAATATGCCTACCGTACTCTCAGGCTTGCGCAAGCCCTCTCTTGGTCTGTCTGGTCCTAAGCCACCGCCCGTGTGTCACGGCTGCTCTTGGATCGGAACCCAGGGCCCCACGTTGGGCGCTAGCTGAAATGGATCTGAACCACAACTGGGTTCACACAAGATGTCTGCTGCTGTTCCTAATTATGTTGTGTTCGGTGCACCGGAGAAATCACAAACTCAGACTGTAACGGTCTATAAAAGCTCTAATTTTATTCAGGGCGGTCTCTCTCCTTTATACACAGATAACAGGAGAGTGTTCGTCACACATATGCCCACCTCTGTTATCTCTAAATGTCTTGTACTATTGGGCAAACTAGAGGAGCTGTTAGTTAAAGTCTTGTGTCTCTCGCTAATTGGTTAGTCAAAGATATCTTCTGCCTGTAGCATCCTCCCTCGGCATTCCTTTCATGTGTCCTTGGCGCGCTCCCGAATACAGGATATATCTCTTGGTTACACATAGCAACGCTAAAAGCTGAGTAAGGAAAGTCACAAAGCTAGGAAGCAAATGAAACTAATTCAAAACAATTCAAAACATAGAAAAGGACATTTTCTTGATATGATCCATATTCCTTCACAATTGAAAGCCCCTTTCTTTGGTAGAACATGTGGTAAGTTGCAATTGTTATTGTCATGTTAACTTTAAAACTGCTATACTCGTATTTTTACATTAAATAGATTCAGCCCACAATAGATGTAATTTGGCTCTTTGAGGATTTATTCCACTCAGCTTGGCCCATTGTTTCAGCTGAATTTGAAATGTCTACTTTAGATATTCAGTCTGCAGGAGCAGAGAACAAATGCAGAGCTAGTACTGGGCTCTCCTATTAGACAGCCCAGCATGCCATACACATGCTAAAGTAGCCAAGCATCCAGAATTAACTATTTCTTTTTAAAAAATACCAAAAAAAACCTCAAAGACTGTAAAACTGAATTTCGCTAAGCGGAGCTGGGGAAATTCTAATCCCTCCCCCCACCTCTTTTCCCCAGCTCAGCTTTACATCTAATGGTATCACATGGAGCTTACTTTCCCACACGCACACTTACTGTCCCATAGGTATGTAGGCTTTCTGAGTTTACTACCAGTAAGGACATGTACGTGGTCTTGGATTACAATTCAGAGTGAATCTCTGTAAACTTGTTGGAAAGTTTCTTCATAAATGTTAAATAAAAATTCTTGAAATGAACAATTAAATAGTTCAAAAAAAAATAAAGAGATAGATAATAAATTAGATTTGAACAAAAACACACTATAGTGTTATTTTAAACTGAAAAGAAGGAAACTGAGTCAATTATGTAAAGACAACATACAGAAACATTGGCGAATATCATATTATTAGAGTTTAGATCATTCTTCCCTGATCTCCAAATGTGGGTTACATTTGTCCTCCATACATGAAGTGATTTCCACTAAGCTAGGTGTGGACCTAATCTGACAGATTACTGTCTTGTATATGCACATCTTAGTTTTCGCCTATGTTACTGATTCTTAATTACTGATTACTGAATTGATGGTTCTAATGTCACATGACTGTTGTTTTATGAAATGTATTTACAATGATCTGTTTGGTGTTACAGGCTTTCCAAAGGTAAGAGAAATCACTCGCTCCCCAGGGGGTCTTTTCAGCTTAGATGTGGATCATTTTTACCCAGAAGCTATTACAGTATCTTGGGAGGTGATCCAGCCACCGTCGAGCACACAGCCCCGTCCCATAGACTCTACTCCTGTAATGCATCAGAACCAGGATGGAACCTTTAATGTCACCAGCACCAGTGAAAGCCTCAGAGGGATGATCTGGGAGGATGAGCCTTATGCTGTGCGTGCTTCAGTGACCCACCAAAAACTGAAACGTCTGTCACATAAAGAATGGAAAAGCGATGATAAAGATAACAGAGGTATGGGGAATATTCCAGTAGTAATGACATTCTCAAAGACATGAAATGGGTCATTGTAAACTCTATAGTGAGACATTTTATACAGAATATGTTGTTCTGATGTGTGACACAAATGCTCTAGTATGTAAATCTTGTAGGTTTTCTGATTAAACCTCCACGTGTGCAGTTACAGATACAATCAGCTGGAGTTTGATCAGAAGTATTTAAAGGAACCCAACAAATGCCGGCCAAACCACTGATAACAAAAATGATCTTATCATAAATGTCAGCCCTTCCCTGAGGTACAAGGTGAAACTACCTCCATTTAGTAACACAGAAGACTGATGGCAGAAAAAGAACAAGCGGTCCATCAAGTCTGCTCCTGTTTGTTTTATCTGTTCTCATTTTTGCCTGAGACTAGACCTGTGTGTATCCCAAGCCATTCATTTACGGTTGATTGACTCACTACCCTTGCTGGAGTTCTGATCCAACCATTCATTACTCTTTCTGTAAAATAATACTTTCTAATGTTACATTTCTTCTGCTAATGTTCTGTGGCTCAGCTTCATACTGAAAATACTTCTCTCCACATACTTATTCATACCTTTAACATATGGAGATATAGATGCGAAGAACTAAGGTACCCGCTGTCAATAGAAAATATAATTTTTCCAGGACAGCAGACAGATGGGGAGTATATTTTATACAGCGCTAAACATTGTCGATTCTAGAATATACAGGAGAATGTATAGAGACCAGAACAGTGTGAAAAACAAAATGTACAGCACAACGTAAAGTAGAACAATGTAATTTATAGATCTCACAGCACAGAGCAGTGATTGGAAAATCCCAGTGCTGGTGCTTGATCTTTTGTCTGCCCATTTACTCTCCCCCACTGCTACATCAGCTCTGCTCCCCCTGTTCTCCTACTGCTGAGAGCCTGCTGCATGCTGTGGTCTGTGTCCCCTTCGGTCCCAACTGTTCTTCCGGCCTCTATCAGCAGAGGCAGCGGGGATGAGAGGGGACACAGAGCGCTGCAGCCGGCGCCCAGCAGGAAGGAGAGACCACTGACTGCCGCTGTGCGCCACCCCCCATACCCGCTGTGCTCCTGTGCCCCCTCTTCAGATCAACTGCCCATCAGCAACAAGTCTCCCATCCAGTGGTCGGCAGCAATAGCCAGCCTGCTATCGGTTATTTTAAACTGCAGGAGCCAATTTCACGCATACTAACGGGGACAGAAGTCAGTTTACAAGTGTTTGTAACACAACTACAAGGATGACTGAGAAGGAAATAGATGAAGTGCACCATAGTTCAGGAGAGTGGCCCTCTGGGAACCCTGATCAATTGGCAGATGTCACATTAATATTTCAGCTGTTTACCAATTTTAGTTTTAGCTAAAGGAGGGAGTAATTAGAAGCTCTATTAGGTTTTTATTGCCATCTATGTCTGTTGTGTGCCACCTATGATGTATTTATCTGCTGTTACATCGGATTACATTTTGTTCTTCATGTATTGGTTTCTACTGATCTCTAGTGGCAGTGTAGTACCACAGCAAGCTGTTTGTTTCAGCATTTGGTATGTTCCTTTTGTTTTACCCCTTGTGTTTGGAGCTAGTTGGTACAATCTTTAGCTAGACCCTCCCCTCTCCATACTTCCACAGATAGTTTCTGTTTATAGAAGACATTAGGTTGGGAAAGTCAATGATCTTCTTACACTTCAAAAGACTGGAAAAATATCCTATGTAATGTATTTTGCAGAGTAAAAGTGAGTTAAATACAACTTCTGTGTGTTATTGGACAGTTAAGCTGTCTGTGGATGCTGCAGAATGAGCAGGTGACCATACTATCCAGACAGCTCAAGATCTATAGAAGTAGGTCACTGCATATAGTGGCATTTGAGACAGAACAGTGTCTGAATTGGGGAGATTTCCTCTTGTTTCCTGTCCCGAGGATAGAATGAGACTGAATAGAAACTGATAGGAAACAGACAGCAGCAAAGCATTGTATTTATTAGCATGGGGACGGGTTAGAAAAAGGGTAGACAAACCCCGACCCTCCAGCTGTGGTGCAACTACAAATCCCATTAGGCAAGACTCCCAGAAGCAGATGCATAATGGGATTTTTAGTTTCAAGACAGCTGGGGGCAGAGGTTTGCCTACCGCAGGGTTAGAAGCTTTGTGAAATTGTTATTGCTGTCTGCGATATCTTGGTGGCATCCTTTCCTCTTCTTTATTGCCCTAGAGTCACACAGATAAAAGTGAGGACACAGCCCCCGAACAAAGTCACACATTATATAACGGCAAAATATTTATTTCCACAAATATTGAAAAAAAAATACTTGAGCTTTCAAAGCATATGTAAAGACAAAACGTATTTTTCCTGTTTTGGATAGAGTTTGGAGGAGTTAAAACAGCCAGTTCATTATTAGGATTTGCTTTACATATAAGAATATATATTTTCTATTATCTTTTCCAGATTTTCTAGCACAGCCGGAAGTGGAGATGATAAAAATACCAAAATGGTTTGTCAACCAACAGACACAACTTCAATGCAGAATCACACACTTCTACCCCGATCAGCTGACTGTCAATTGGTTTAAGAAAGAAAATGGAAAGGAAGATTTAATTTATATAGTTGACAATGAGAGATACAAGATTCCCAACCGCAAATCTCAACTACAGCCGGATAAAACATTTACATATACATCGCTTCTAGAGGTCACCCCATCACTAGAGGATAGGGGGTCAGAGATCATCTGCAGAGTGAGCCATCCCAGTCTGGAGGGACTAATAGAAAGGACAACTGGACCATTACAGGTGCTGGGTGAGTATAAAATGGAGAAAAGGGGTGGCACAGCCTGCAGCTTCTCCTCGGATGCTCGCTGCTCTCCCCCGCCTGCATGGGCAGAGGCAGCGGGGATCCAAAAAGAAATGAAGTGATGGCTAAGCGGTGAGGAGTGAGAGCTGCTCAACCAGGATCTGACAGCCGAACATCTCTCCCTCCTCACCGCTCGGCCATCCTGAAAAAGTGACAGCACTCCCTCCTCCACCCCTTTAGGAAGCAAATATAAAAGATCAAAAACTAAACCAATATGGCTTAATAAAACTGTAAAACAACACGTCAAGGACAAGAGAGCGACATTTATAAAATATAAGACGGAAGGGACGGCATTGGCGACCCCCCAGCTTCAACACTTAATTTTTCCTTAGATCCCCGCTGCCTCTGTCCATACAGGCGGGGGAGAGCAGTGGGGATCTGAGAACAACCTGCAGGCTGTACCGCCCCTCTGTGCGTGGCTGAGCGGCTCAGGATGTAGAGCAGAGGATAGGTAAATATCTGTGATATTATATCTGATCCTCTGTCTGCATCGTAAACATTGGAGTTATCAGCTGATCACTATCATAATGTTTGTAAATAACTGGGGACACCTAGTACTATGTCTCCACCGCTATGAATGAACAGGAAGTGCTTTACATTACTTCCTGTTCATTCATGAATTTCTGAATGGATAGTAGCACTCTGTACAGAGACTTCTCCCCATTCAGAAACTGGTTGATAGTAAATATTTACTATCCCTATTTTCTGAATGAATGGGAAGCCTCTGTACTGAGTGTTCTCCATTCATTTAGAACAGAGGTTACAGAAAAAGAGATTGAGGGCTCTGTGTTGTCAATTTCTTTTTCTATTTTAAACGGGAAATGTCAGTGGGTCTAATATTAGCCCCTCCAACAGTAAAATAAAAATAATAGACAATTTAAAAAAAACACACAACATGATGCAGATTGGGCATTACCACAATGCATACATGTGAAGCCAACCACAATATTTTTTGTATACCGGTAATTTGCCTTCCCATGGGTGACCCCTGCTGTTGGCCGATTAACTCCCCTCCTCCATCCCATCTGCAAGAACCAACTCAGTTAGTAGCAAGCAGTACACGCAAAAACAGGAAACCCAGCATATCCCCAGTTTAGGACAGGTGCTCTTATGTTCAATGAATGTAGAAAAAAATTGTTTTACAGTAAGTACAAAATTTCCCTTTTCTTTTCGGTTCACTGAAGGACACAGCTGGATCTTTAGATCTTGACCAATGGGGCATTCCAAAGCAGTGTGAAACAGAATGTGGGCCCAAACAGAAAAGCAGAAAAACACAACGAAGAACCCCAACAGGAACGTTCACACTGCTGCCTACAAAACTGTGCAGCCAAAATTAGCATCCGAGGATTCTGCAACAGCATCCTTGCAAAACTTTGTAAAGGTGTGGACAGGCGATCAGGTAGCCAGCTCATAAACTTGAGAAACAGAAGCATGATGATGAAAAGCCCAGGATGCACCCGACAAAAGAAAAAACAAATTGGACCCAAGAAACCAGCAAAAAAATATTGGTGCTAACACTTAAGCACTAGGCAAAGAACTGAGTTTGCTGTTGCAACTGGGTTGGGGGAAGGGTAATTGGCCACCAGTGGGGGACCGTCCCTGGGTTGTTATTTGATTGTACCTAATTTAGGGTTGCCACCTTTTCTTCAAGCAAAACCCGAACATTCTAGCGACACGCCATCCATTAATATGCAAATATCCCAGTTAGAACTATCTTCAGTGGGTGGCCAGTAGCCCCTATCTTAATTTTGGTTGCCCCTGTCTGCCTGACATCGTGTGTCCGGATTTCTGCTGCCATGAAACCCGGACACAGCATTCAAAACCCAGACTGTTCGGGGGAATCCTGGACAGGTGGCAACCCTAACCTAATGTCCTTCTACTGCAGGTGGCAATATAACCCATCGGTCAAAATGTAAAGATCCATCTGTGTCCTTTTAGGAACAGAAGAGAAATACTGTTTAGATAAACATTTTTGCAACTATGGCAGGATGTACAAATTCAGCAGCACCATCTTTTACTCTATGGCCCCTGTGCTTTCAGGAAAAGAATGATTTGGGGACATTTTGCAAACTTCCAAAGCTGTAAGTAAAAAATGGTGAAAAACAAGTTTAAAAAAGAATTCCAGGGCGTTTTTTTATTAACCATTGCAGTGGGTCTACCCTTGCACTGCAAGGGTTTATTTGTGTCTAGGTGCTAAACAGGGCCGGACCGGCCATAGGGCATACCGGGCACTTGCCCGGTGGGCCGGGCTGGGCCGAACGCAATCACCCTGCCTGACTGTGTTCGGGCCGGCTCAGGTCAGCCCGCTATGTCCGATGGCCAGCTCTGACAGCTCGAGTGATGAAAGAGCACAGAGCGGCCAGGTTGAACACAGAGCAGGGCTGCCCCACCCCCATCACCAGCCGACATCAGCCTGAGCCGGGGGGGGACTGTGTGCAAGACACCGCGCTGTGAACGAAGATCACAGGACACGGAGTGTGAGCTGACAGGGGGGAGGATGTTAACCATTGCTGTGCCTGTAAGTTCATTTAAGATCCTTATGTCTAGCTATAATGAATGCAATGAAATACATCTTTTAGCCTCACATATCTTAAAGTGACAGTAAAGTCAAACTTTTTCCCCCCTTCCCAATCCTGCCTTAAATGATGATGTCTTTTAGGCCTCATTCACACGAGAAAAGGCTGGCACGTACAGCTCCGTGCTGCGTGCACGGCCGTACCGAGCAGCTCCCGGGAAGGACAGGTGCTGCGTGTGATTAGTACGCAGCCCGGTCCTTCTTTATGGGAATACGCGGCCGTACGCGGCCCTACTCTCACCCGCCATTCACATTTACGTACGCTGACAGGATGGATCCTGTCTGCGTCCGAGCCGGGACACTTGCACTCACCCCAAGTGCACGGACCTGCACTTGGGGTGAGCGTAGGGCAGTGTATGGCCACGTACTCCCATAGAGAAGGGCAGGGGCTGCTAATCACACGCAACACCTGTCCTTCCAGGGAGCTGCTCGGTACAGCCGTGCACGCAGCACGGAAATACTGGGTCAGTGTTCTCAACAGAACACGGCACTACATTTTTAAACTGAAACGGCTGCCTGAGGTCCCGTGCTTGCTGGGGACCTCGGCAGCCGTCCTGTTAACAACACAGTGCCATGGCGGCGGGAGGTCCTTCATAGTTTCTTGCACCGGGGCCCTGAAGGTCCTAGTTACGCCTCTGCCTTAATCCGATCATCTTCTTCTTTAGTGTAGTTTTTAGCTGTACCTCCAGCGCTGGTGCAGGTCTCCGATCCAGCGTTGACTCCTCTGTCCTCCTCTTCTCTCATGTCCCACGGAGACTGTGCGGGTGCATGCTGCTCTTCGTCTCCCAGCCGAATATCTTCTGAACTGCGCATGCACGCGTCCCAAGATCCTTTGTGGCCGTCCCAGAAATTTTCAGATGTTTGGACAGGAGCGCGCAGCAGAGACACAGGTAAGTTTAACCCCTTTTTCAAAAATGTTTTATTCGTTTTGCATATATCTACTGCTTGCTAGCCATAGAAGGGGCGGCATGGCAGGGGTGACAAGGGAGAAGGTGGAGGCGGCCGGGCCTCAGCAGTGCTAGTCCGGCGGTTGGAGGCGGCCCGGGCCCCAGCAGCGCCGGTCCGGTGGGGGAGGAGGCTGGGCCCCAACAGTGGCAGGTAAGAGTAGCTTAGAGGATGTGCAGGGAAAGGGATCCCGCGACCAGCCCACATGAGACCCTGCGGAGCCCACCATAGAGAGTCTCAGATGGGCTGTGCGGGATCTATGGTGTGCTCTGCAGGGTCACTCTCAGGTGGGTCCTGAGACCAGAGCGTTACTAAGGCCCGAGTCCAGTACATTACTAAGGCCCGAGTCCAGAGTGTTACTAAGGCCAGAGTGTTACTAAGGCTAGAGGCCAGAGTGTTACTAAGGCCAGAGTCCAGAGTGTTACTAAGTCCAGAGGCCAGAGTCCAGAGTGTTACTAAGTCCAGAGGCCAGAGTGTTACTAAGGCCAGAGTCCAGAGTGTTACTAAGGCCCGAGTCCAGAGTGTTACTAAGGCCAGAGTCCAGTACATTACTAAGGCCAGAGTCCAGAGTGTTACTAAGTCCAGAGTGTTACTAAGTTCAGAGTCCAGAGTGTTACTAAGGCCCGAGTCCAGAGTGTTACTAAGGCCCGAGTCCAGTACATTACTAAGGCCCGAGTCCAGTACATTACTAAGGCCCGAGTCCAGTACATTACTAAGGCCCGAGTCCAGTACATTACTAAGGCCCGAGTCCAGAGTGTTACTGTGCCCTGAGTCCAGAGTGTTACTGTGCCCCGAGTCCAGAGTGTTACTGTGCCCCGAGTCCAGAGTGACACTAAGCCCCGAGTCCAGAGTGACACTAAGCCCCGAGTCCAGAGTGACACTAAGCCCCGAGTCCAGAGTGCCACTAAGCCCCGAGTCCAGAGTGACACTAAGCCCCGAGTCCAGTGCATTACTAGTTCCTGAGACCAGATTGTGCCTGAGTGCAATTCATTTACTGTTCTTCATTGCGGTATAGTGTATTGCTGGGATTTGTAGTCCTCTTAAAGCCGGTGCCATTCTGCATTAGAGTGTAAGCTCCTCTGTACAGAGACTGATGTGACTGGCTCAGTGTTCTCTGTATAGCACTGCGGTAATGTAAATTGTTTTCTGACAGCGATCAGTCAGTAAACTATCCTGCAAACAGCAGACACTGGAGGGCCAATTCACACCACAAACAGTGCGTTCCAGAGTGGTCAGCCTCTGGAACACACTGTATCGCAACCCAGCCGGCTCCCTGCGTTCAGGGGTGGGAGGGGGAGTGGCGGTGCGTTGAAGTCAGTGGCACTGCAGCCACATACCCCGCCCGCAGTGCGATCGCCACACCTAAGCGCGTGGCACATCAGTGCCTGCGTTCAGTCCAGTGCGATCTGCAAAAATAGAATTTTTT